CCTTATGCTTTTACTGTCAAGTAGCATTTCAAACGCTATACAATTAAGATTCCATTCCAAGGTCTGAGAGAGTTTTGGAAGCTTTTTGATAAGACCTTCCAGCGAAACACCAGAACAAACCTGATTGGTACTTCTGAGCATCATTGTTGAATCGAAGCTGTTCCTTGGAGTTCCAAAGAGCGTGTTGATCGAAGAGAGCCGCGATCGCCGTCGGACTGATAACTTATCCGTGCTAGGGATTGATAATGATTGCTGTTTTTCCTGTAAAACAAGGTCAATAAGAAAACAAGTTCCCTGTTTTAAGAAATTTATGGTACATAAGTTCCCTCAGATTTTAGTTTATAAATAACCAGAGCAATTCAATGCGGTTGTTCGTCAACAACCTCTGCTTCTTGAGCAGTTGTAATTGGTTTTGGTTTCGGATTGTTCTCTCCAGGGGGAGGATGTTGTGTGCTGTTATGCAAACGACACTATGTATTGAAAAACGAACAAAACACACGAGCAGCAAGTCAGAGTTGAAGCCCATCCCCCGTTTTCAGTAGAACGGGTATTTATATTTTCTCCTGCGCAAAAATATCGTCACTGAGCAGCGATTTTTTGGGGGGAGACGAATAATACCTACAGGAACTGCATCTCCCAATTAAGGTTGAAGGCAATGTTGCATTTTAATTACTGAAAAAAATGTTCTCGCTGGACCTATCCATGTGCTAAAAATGAAAACCATTTCCCGGAGACATTTTTTTTATAATTTTCTTCATTTTCCAATTGGAACGGGTAATTGATAGTTACTGGCTTCATTCGATCTGCTTGTCAGTCATGGGCTAGATGTAAAAACATAGTTTGTAACATCAACCTCGGGCTGATGGCGGAGGGGAGGGAGAGGGGAGGAGCTCACCCGAGGCGTTCTAATACTTGTTGTTTCCGTCCCAAATAGACCACTAACCAATTGCTATGGGAAGAGAAGGGCGGGATCATTCCACGCACAGACATGCCCTGAGATTGCATCGACTAATACTACACTGGGGTTGAAAGGAACGCGTGGTGAATGAGTAAGCAAATTACTGGGCAAGTAAAAAATAATAAACACACGGCAGACATAGCGGACCCGTAGCACAGTTTAGCTCAGCTGCAATTACTTAGATACTATTATGCTAGAAAAACTGCAAAACAGCTGACGGGAAGCTTTTCTACAACAATTCCCTGACAAAAGCCATTGCCAGACATGCAGTTAAAATTACAAGTTTCCTTAGAGAGCATTCATAATTCGCGTCAGCGTCTTGGGTAGGAAGGTGTAAGTGTGGATTCAGCATCTTGGACGTAGGACAGCGTTAGCTGGCTTTGGTGGCGGACGACGGCACACGCTGCGTAAGATGGCATACGCTGGCGTACGCTCGTACAGTGACGTACGCTAGCATATTGTGCGCTCAAAACGTCATACGCTCGAAAAGCTGACGCAAACTAGTGGGCTACTCTAACTACACTTAGGCATGAAAGCAAATCAAAGGAGAATGTGAAAGTCGTCCTAGTGTGTGCACTAATCTGGTACTTCATCACTAGCTCCCTGAGAACATGAGTATTTTCAAAAGTGAGGCTGATGCAGTTCCGCTTATGCGCAGTGGTCGTCCTAAAGTTTCAAAAATGTTTCGAATCGCCTTGACGAAATGCTTTTTCCTTTTTGCTTCCTCAAGAAAATGTGTGTTGTACATCGATTCGAGCGGCGCAACCAGCTTCAGCAATTGAAAATCATCATGTTAATGGAGGATGAGAGCCACTATCACCATGAAAAGGAACGGCTAGAAGCGAAATTCGAACTAGTGAAAGCCGATGAATCAATAAAGGCTTCGGTAGCCAACTGAGCAACCATTTTTAGAGGAAGTTGAATACAGCAGTCCTGGAACTTTAAAGCCAACGTACGTAATTCTTGGCTAGCAACCTTTGGGACCGAACGATGTAGGGTACAAGGAAGTAACAAAGGTTACTCACGCATCAGATGATCAGTAATGAGGAAACTTCTAAAGTTGATCAAAGTTATCATTCAACAGCTAGATAAGCTAGGAATGATTACCTTTTTTTACCGGAAGGTTATATGTCAGCCTCCTAGTGACTTCCATCAGTGCGGAGGAACCGTTAAAAAAGGATTCCAGTGAGAGCAAACCCCTTCGTTCACAGCATATAAGTGTTGAAACAAAGTACATTATTTCTTTTTGAACACCACGTGGTTCGTCTTTTTTCGCGTTTTTCGACAAATTCCAGTGTCCTTAATGATACCGTAATGCTGACATTCTTAAATCATAAGCAGTTTCGTGACATTATTCTTGTTTACAGAGCAAAACATGGTTTTTTCACTGTTTAAAAAAGCCTGAACCCTTTACACAAAAAAGGTTGTCAAGATTGAGAAAAATGGCGTTAAGTACGCTCCTTTTCCGTGCGTTTTCTGCTTCAATTAGAGCACTCTGATTGTTCTTCGGACAGCCCCTTCACCAGTGCTACTGAGCCTATTTCCCAGAGATGGGATATGCGTATCCTGGCTAATTTATATTTAACAAAACCGACCAGCCCTTGTGATGCTGAGTACAATCTCGAGGAAACAAAATGTTAGCATTACTGCAGCCTTTAGACATTGAAATTCTTCTCTGCGGGAAAAATAACGGGTCTATTTCATTTTTTATCCACAGAAGTATGTTTATTTACACTTCAGCCATGACGTATATTTATGGTTGAAGTATATTTACAGCATTCATAGGTGAAACATACCAAACTTTAGAACGAACGGACTGGGCGGGGAAAAGTCGAGAGAAAGCGTTTCAGCGAATACTGTCAAGCGCCTCATGCGTTCATAAAACCCTGATATTATGTTTATTCGTTTGTTTTCTTCTGACTGTAATCGCACCCTTCCGCCTACAATGGCTCAAAAACTATTCAGTGATTTCTGTCAAAGTACCGTGCAGGTGGGTGCGTCGTTCGTAGTAATGGGTCACCCACGAAGTAAATGAATTCGTTAAATAATGGTGGCATTGTCCCTTACAAATATTAGTTCCTCCTCGTGAGGCATTGAAGTCTTCCCACGAAGACTGCTTAATCGTAAAAGTACACAAATTTTCATTTTGTTTCGGAGTAGCCGTCATGTGACCCATATGTAAT